CTTACACGCTAAGTCATAGACTTAGTGAGGCATATAAATATAATAATTATGCATTCCTTATGAATATGAACATGTAATCTATCCATTCAATCATGTAACATGTAATTCAATGTAAACGATAATAACTTGGTAACATATAACAAAAATAATGTGATTATTTTTAATAACATTTTTATAAGCCAATGTACATTACTGAGAACTCAAGGTATTCGAGTACATTGAGGTTGTGCACTATGCTGTCACCACAGCTCGTATAAGTCCTACTGAGTAGCATATGAGATTTGTCCCGAATGACCACTGTATTATCCCGAAGGACATATGAAACCCTCGACTCTTGGCATGCCAACTATACCTATAGCTCTCATATCGTATACCATGGGCATTACTCTTATGTTTCATATGTTCATGTACTCATGTCATTTCTCTTGTGATCACATAGCTCATATCACTTATCATATCACATGTGCATTTGAATCTATTCACATATATCATTTATCAAATCATATGAACATATATACCTTATGCATGTTTCATAATAATAATAATGTATGCATGTTCATAACTATTGTACTATAAAAATCAACATAGGAATTAGACTTATCACAAGTCCCATTCCATTGTACTATATTTATAATATGCACTCACCTTAGCTTTGTTGGATTTGAACCAATTCTAGAACTTATCTTTTTATCAATTGTTTCTAATCCCTCGATCGTTCTTACTTGGCACTTGTTCTGGAACTCATTTAGGCTAGATATCTACATAAACATAATTTCCGAGACAATTATCAAAAGCCTAAACCTTATCATTAACGTCTAATAGCTTAAATAAATTTAATGAACCAAACTTCAACTTTCCTTTAGGGGGTATCGATACCCTCCTTAGGGTATTAGTACCCTTATTACGTTCTGGAATTTTCACCCAAAAATTCATCAACTCATCACTGAATTTCCTCATAAAAAACTCCTTTCATACCACTAAATTCAACTACAACCATTTTAACTAACTTCTATCATTCACACACCTTATTATCTCCAATACTTCATTCAAATTCTTAAAACTAAGAATCATACCCAAATTTCAAACATGTTATTAATCAATTCTAACACTTCATATTCCTTAATTAACCTCTTGACAAGTCAAAAATCTTATTCAAACTTCAAAAACTCATTCATATCAAAATTTCATCTAAAAACCCATTTTTCAACTCTATCTATAAATCATTTATCTTGTTGCTTTAATGTCATATAAGCTTTCCTTTAGCTTATATAACATCCAAACAATTAAAACCCTCTTTAAAATTCCAAAAATTAACCATAAAAATCCAACTTACCTTGTAGCCAAAGCCACCGTGAAAAAGAGGAAAACAGGGAGAAGCAGAGAAATAGAACTTGGAACCAATTTTGCCTTCCTTTCCTCTTCCACGTGGGTTAATATAAACCCATCCAAAATTTTAATTATTTTCCTTGCAAATGACCATTTTACCCTTTAATTCATTTTATATTTACGAACAATCATTTTTGAACTATTCAATTATTCTACCTTAATCACCAAATTCTGAATTTTTACAATTTAGTCACTAACCTGTTGTTTGGGATGTTACAATATGATGTTAATACAACATTTTATAAATATTACATATTTCAATATTTTTATTGATTATATTAGAATATAATTTAATATAGGATAATTCATTATCTTTTAGGATTATATTTATTATTTTATTAGAAATTAAGATAAAATTAAAACAATTATCTTTAGTTTATTGCTATTAGGACATCTTTAATTTATTACATAGTCATGTTACAACAATGATTCCTCCTCAACTATATAAAAGAGGCTCCTCCCACTATTGTAATTAGGGATGGGCATGGGCCTCAAACCCGACGGGTTCCGACCCGACCCGAGTTTTTTTTATAAAAAAATAGATTCGGGTCGGGTTGGATTCAGGTTTAGGGTGAAAAATACCCGACCTGACCTGACTCAAAAAATATATATAATTTTACCTTATATATTTAGGAATAATTACAATAATACCCCTATGTATATTATTTTTCAATTAAATCATTATTTTTTATTGAATAAAAATAATATTTTTATTATTTCGGGTCAGGTGCATCGAGTTTATATTTTATCTCAAACAATCGGGTCGGGTGGAGGGTATATATTTTTTGGGTCGGTTTGGGTTGGCTGAAACCCAACCCTAATTATAATCATCATATTTTCTTTGAATAATAATACAATACGAGTACATTTTTGCAAGAGCTTATTGCCTTGTGCCTTAGAAGCTTCTTTTCCTTTAAGTTCTTGAGAGAGAGATCTTCACAGTTCAGTTTTCCTTCTCATTACGATTAGGAGTGCTAATTAGAGTCGTATTGTTGAGTTTGTCTTTTCATTGCGACTAGGAGGGTTTGATAGGATATTATACAACTATTTCATCTTCTACAATCCAACTTCATCTTCCTCCATTATTGTCGCCTACTATACAAAACCCTAGGGTTTTGTGTTAAGCACCATACCTACAAGGAGTAAATTTTCAAATCATTTTCCCCATCAATCCGACCATCTGATTTCAATTCCGTCTTCAACGTTGCGATCCTTATTCCATTTTAGCTTTCCAGCAGTTCTTTAATCACCTCAATTCGATATCGAGAACTTAAGATATGTCCATTTTAGTAAAGACAACACATGTAAAAAAAATCCTATAGGGGATTAATAAGAGATTTTATAAATATTACGATTTTTCAATATTTTTATTGATTATTTGTAATATAATTTAATATAGGATGATGCATTATCTTTTAGGATTATATTTCTTATTTTATTGGGAATTAAGATAAAGTTAAAATAATTATCTTTAGTTTATTGCTATTAAGACATTTTTAATTTATTACATAATCATGTTACAACAATGATTCCTCCTCACTTGTATAAAAGAGGCTCCTTCCACCATTGTAATCATCATCTTTTCTTTGAATAATAATACAATGTGAGTACATTTTTGCAAGAGCTAATTGCCTTGTACTTTCGAAGCTTCTTTTCCTTTAAGTTCTTGAGAGAGAGATCCTCAAACTTCAGTTTTCCTTCTCATTGTAAATAGGAGGGCTGGTTAGAGTCGTATTATTGAGTTTGTCTTTTCATTGCGACTAAGAGGGTTTGATAGGACATTCATCCAACCATTTTATCTTCCACAATCCACCTTCACATTCCTCTATTGTTACCACCCACCATACAAAACCCTAGGGTTTTGCGTTAAGCACCATACCTATTGGGAGTAAATTTTCAAATCATTTTTTCCATCAATCCGGCCATCTGATTTCAATTTCATCTTCAACATTGTGTTCCTTATTCCATTATCTTTCCAATGAGCATCTATTCATCAAAATCCAACCTAAAATCATCCTTGCCGCCACCTATAAGGGAGATAAACTTTAATTCTCCATTACAATTCCTTATATTTTAATTATCATTGTTTTTTTACTTGTTTTATTCTTTTATTGTCTTAACCTTACCTTTTTGTCTCAATTTCAACAACCCTAAATCTATCCAAACCTTAATTTTTCACCGCCCACATTTCTTTCTCATTCTCTCGTTCTTTGATCGACTCTAGAGCATTATAGGTTTGATTATCATTCGCTGCCACTTCTCTATCATTTTTTCTCTACCATGTCATCGACCACCGTGTCATTTTTCATTCCGGCCACCTTCTACCGACATTGATAGTGGTCGTTCAGTCTCAAAATTCATGGGTCAGTTCATCTCGACCCCCTGAGTCTAAATCTGGTGGTTGTCTCATCGAAAAATATCCCAAAATTTATGAATCTCGATTCAAATATTTCAGCTTCCTCACTTTTAATCTTCAATTCGTGGAATTCAGAGCAAGTTCCAACAAAATGGAAGTTTAATTTGAACTCAAGGTGTCAAGACGAAGCGACCCATGAAATTTGGGACAGAACGACCACCATCTACGACGGTCGACGATGGCATCCGACCACCTTCTGTTTTTATTTTATACTTGGGTGAGAAAAATATGAGAGAGACAGTAAAGTTCAGTGAAGAACGGTGCAATTTACCCTTTATATTTTTATATTAAATAATAATAATAAATGACACATCATCACACTATTAGAGAGTTAATAACATAGTGAGCAAAATGATTCAATCTGTAAAATTCAGTGAGCAAAACGATTCAAAATATAAGAGAGAATATAGTTCAACAAGAAACATTGTAATTTTCCCTAAACATTATTAGGGTAAACTACCAAAATGATCACTTTCATTTCACAAATATCCACTTTTAGTCATCAAATTTTAAAAAAATAACCATCTCATAGTTTAACCATATTATTTACATTATACATCCGTCTAATCTAATAATTAATATTTAGTAAAAAAATAATAGCTTTTTGGTTTATATATATATATACAGGGTGTCTCTTGGTGTTTGTTGAAATTTATGGGCTTTGTGGCAGTGATGAATAGAGGCAGAATTGGACTAAGATTGTAGGTAGGCTAATTATTTGGCCCAATATTATAGATAGGTTAATTATGTAACCCAATACAATATCAAATAAATTATTTAAGGATTTGTGATAAATATTACACTATAAGAAAAACTTATCACGTCGACGTTATGAGTTTTAATAAAAGATATATTATTTTTAAAAAAATTCACCCTGATGTGTTAAAATATAATAAAAATATATTTTATTAAAACTCATTACGCCAACGTGATGAGTTTTTCCTACATTATAGCATTCATTGTAAATCTCAAAATAATTTTAAAGATGATATATTAGGTTAAATTTTTTACCCAACTGACCTGTTGGGTCAATTTTGCCGATGGATAGATGAGCCGGGCCTTTATTATTATTGTTAAATAATTCCACAATGTAAAAAATCTGAATGGGCTCCCCTTAAATTTGGTAAGAAAATGAATCCAGGGAGTCTTTCACTATAAATGGAGACAAATAGCAGGCTTTTCTGTGCGCCTAGCCCCAGTTTTGTTTTCATCGCTCTGTGCCTGACTTTAGATTTCCGTAAACACAACTGGCTAACTTTTTTTGCATCATCCATCATCATCTTGCTCAGAGCTCAGGGTTAGGAGGTGTGGACTAACGCGATCGATTCCCAAATCTCACTGATCATAGCGTCTTTCCCACCTGTATTAAACTACCGCCATTCCCTTTTCTTCTTCATTACAAATCTCTCTCTCCCTCTCTCTCTGTGCGTATATTCTGATTCAGAAAAGTACCCAGAAAGAAAATAAGTCCAAGTTGTGTTTTTTAATTTTTGGGGTTTGTGTAGATTTGCTAGAGATTAAGCACAAAATTGTTTTCCCCCCTTATTTGTTTTGATTTTTTGAGTCGCGGGAAGAAAATGGATAAGAAAAAGGTTGTTGTCCCACTTGTATGCCATGGCCATTCACGTCCTGTTGTGGATCTCTTTTACAGTCCTGTCACCCCAGATGGTTTTTTTCTTATCAGTGCCAGCAAAGGTAATTACTATTTATTTTGTCCAAGACCATCGTTTTTTTTTTCTCTGTTTACATGCTCTTGAGAAGTTGTGATTTTTATACTGTAATCGGTTATCTTAAAATTGCTTGTTCTCATCTATTTTTAGGCTCACTTATGGTCTATATTTCATTGATAAGATTTCATTTTATAAGTCTTCATATGCATGTACCAATGGTGGGTATATATTATCAATGCTGAGACCGTATTTTCCTCATAGAACTAGGAGTGGTATGCACTTCTCTGGAGGGATAATTTGTTGTTGATCATATGCTTATATGAATGGGGTTTTAATTGTCTGGTTTAGATTCCAGTCCCATGCTGAGGAATGGAGAAACTGGAGATTGGATAGGAACATTTGAAGGACACAAGGGTGCAGTGTGGAGTGTTTGCTTGGACACAAACGCTTTGCGTGCTGCTTCTGCTTCTGCTGACTTTTCTGCGTATGCTATTTCATTCTTGATCGTTTTCTGTCATAAATCTCAATATGGCTGTTGTTATAATCCGGAAGTCGTTTAATTGTTTTCTAGTCAGTTTCTTATTTATATATGCAGATTTCTTGATTATTAATATCAAATGTCTTGCAACACCTCAAGTAAAATTCTTCATACTGTTGCACTTATGGAGTTATTTATTGATAAAAGGTTGACATATCCTGTGGCATGGCCTTTATATGCAGGAAAGTGTGGGATGCACTAACTGGTGATGTCTTGCACTCATTTGAGCACAAGCATATAGTTCGAGCCTGTGCTTTTTCAGAGGTAAAGTCGGTTCTTACTTTCTTTTGAAGCTTTAACTTGGGGGAATAATGGATATGCTAGGAAAAATAAAAAGATAGATATGGTGTTTGAGATGTGTAACAGCTTGGTTTACAAATAATCCATTTTTGGTAAAAGAGTATCTGTATGATAAAGTAGCTAGGTTATTGAACAGCTTTCTTGGTTACTTTGGCTCTCATTATTAGCTTGCGAAAATTATTTTCCATTTCTTCTGGAAAACCCTGTTAATAATTGGGGGTAGAAAGTCCTATTTCTAAATCAAAGCCAGCATTGTTACATTTTAGTTCTTAGTGCATCTCTTGATCTTTATTTTCGTTGATTGTGTTGAGAAAAAAACCTTTACCGTCTTTGGCTTTTGATGGCCTGATGAACTTGTAACAGGTGGTTTCACAACTATTATTGTACATATGCTTTTCATTTTTAATTTAATGAGGAGATGTTGACAACCACAACAGGTTTTTGAATTATTTCTTTAAATTTCTACACAAAACCGAGGAAGCAATTTGTACCTTCTCTGAATCTCTTCTATTTACAATAGAGATGGAACTTTTTAATATTATAAGGTCTTTATCACTCGTGATTTGGATTTACTTTTTTTTTTCGTTAACAATCATTAATTATTAGGATCTGGCAATAAAGACTATTCCAAATAATTCCAACGTAGCTTAAATATATCACTTCATCTTGTTGGTAAAAGTTCCCCGCCCTTTGGGGTGGGAATCAGATAATCTTTAAGGCAAAGATCTAATCACTCTCATTGATCTAAATATCATTGACACATAGGATGGTTGAGTTCGTACCAAACATGTAATCACTCTCGTTGATCTAAGATCATTGGCACGTAGGATGGTTGAGGTCGTACCAAATATTGGACCATCATAGGTTTGAACTGACGACTGCTTACCAAAATCCACCAATGGAATTGTTGTCATTTTGTACCCTTCGTTCATTTTTGGTGATCTGTTTATTTTACATTTTGTTTCTTAATTTTAAATCTCATTCAAGGTTTTCTGATCCGATTGCAGGATACGCACCTTCTATTAACTGGGGGAGTGGAGAAAGTCCTCCGTATTTATGATTTGAATCGTCCGGATGTGCCTCCAAGAGAAGTGGACAAATCACCTGGTTCAGTCAGAACCGTTACTTGGATGCATAGTGATCAGACAATATTAAGTTCTTGCACGGATATGGGGGGTGTCAGGTATCCATTTTCCTCCATGTTTGGGTGTTCTTTTGTGTATTTTCGTGGTTCATTGTTTTTAAAGGTGAGCATTTTGTGTACGTTTTGATTATTTACTATCTATTACTATTATGTCTCTGGATACCTGTTCTCCTCTTATAGAAACTGTATGGTATTGCCTCACTTTCCCCCCTATTTCTATTACCACGACACAAATATAGAGGTTTATAGATCAAAATCCAGGATACATTAATATCAGTGGGGTAAGGGTTTTGTAATGCTTGCTGTGTTGTTGATTTGGTAACTTCATATTTGATTTAAAAGACTTTTGTTAAACTGTGAGGTAAACTATGCATTTAGTACCTAAACTATCAGTTTTGATCGGTTTTAGTACTAAACTTTCAATTTTTTCAAAATCATACCTAATGTTTAGTTTTTGTTTCATTTTAGTACCCTGCCATCAAGAACTTTGCACGTTTAGTACCTAAACTATCAGTTTTAGTAACTAAAGTTTCATTTGTTTTTCAAAATTTAACGTTAAGTTTTTAACAGGGTACTAAAATGAAAGAAAAACTAGATTTTAGGTATGGTTCTGAAAAAATTGAAAGTTTAGGTACTAAAACGGAATAAAACTGATAGTTTAGGTACTGAATGCATAATTTACCCATAAATTGTCTGTAATATCTATTTTAAGTTTACCTAAAATGTCTGTTATCAACCCCGATCTGATGCTTGTCTTGGTTTTCTATAGCATTTCTCTCTCTGCTTTCCTATTTCTGGTTTTCTCTGAGACTGCAGATTATGGGATGTAAGGAGTGGTAAAATAGTTCAAACGCTAGAAACCAAGTCATCTGTGACCAGTGCGGAAGTGAGTCAAGATGGTCGATATATCACAACTGCTGATGGATCTACTGTTAAGTTCTGGGATGCGAACCAGTGAGTTCTGATTTCCAAGCCAGATTGGTCTTTTGTGCTGGAATTTCTTTTATTGATTAGTGCTGTGTTTACTCAGCTATGGGTTGGTCAAAACCTACAACATGCCATGCACGGTTGAGTCAGCTTCACTGGAACCCAAATATGGAAATAAGTTTGTTGCTGGAGGAGAAGATATGTGGGTTCGCGTTTTTGATTTCCATACTGGAGATGAAATAGGTATGTTCTCAAAAACATAAGCTGGACCATACTCTATGATTTTAGTATTGCGAATTTGGTGCTTGAATCCAGAGATGGTAGCATATTAGTTCCTTAAATGTTAGAAGGTATGTAGCTGTAGCTTGAATTCAAATGTATTTGTACACATGCGATCTTGTGTGTCTGATTTCTGTCATTTTTTTATGTGAAGTTGGTAAGGATTGATTTACATCATGTGTACAGCATGCAACAAGGGTCACCATGGTCCTGTACATTGCGTACGTTTCTCACCTGGAGGGGAATCGTATGCCTCAGGATCCGAGGATGGAACGATTAGAATATGGATGACAGGCCCTTTGACTCACGATGACACTGAACCGATCGCAGCCAATGGGTCGGTTAGGAAGGTGAAGGTTGCTGCAGAAGACGTTTCGAGGAAGATTGAGGGCTTCCATATTGCAGAAGAGAGTTAGACCAAAGAGAAAGAAACGTGGAAGGAATAATAAGTAACGAGGGTGATGATTTCTTCCTTTATCTTATCAGTCGATGCATGACCGCATTTATCCAAGTTATTGAAAATAGTTTTTCTTGTCAGAGATAGAGACTAGACAAAGCTGTAGTTTTTGTATTGTCTATATAGTCTTCATGCATTTAGCATATGTAGACGAAGACCAATGGTTTTATAAAAAGATATAATAATGGCACCGGTAGTATTCTGGTGCGCTTTAATTAATGTGGTTAATTAGGTTATTCATGTTCTGCTTGAGCTTTGATTTCTTTTTTCCGAATTCGATCTTCGTTATTGGTTTGAGGAGGCCTCTTTCAGCTGTTGGACCATTTATTTCTGACGTATACTGTCAATGTTGGCATACTGAAAGACCATATATGTTATTTGTGAGATTCAGCAAATCCTCAAATATTCTTCAGCCTCAAATCAACTGGGCAATATTCCCCCACCAAACTACATTCTTTGATTGTTCCTGGAAGAAGCTAGTGAGTAGATTGTAGCCTTTGCAAGTGGACTAGTTTTGTTCTATAAGCAAACTTTGGCTACATTCATAACACTGCTACTAATAGCACATTTATGAGATCAGGAGCATCAGTCAACAATGCCATCCATACAAGTTAAATCAGCTGCAACTTGCAAATCACAGTTCGAATATCTGGTCAAACGATGAGAGCTTGGATGATAGTAAAGCCTCTCACGAAATAATCTCAGTAAAAGAATGCTCTAATGTTCCCGTAGCACCCTGGAATCAATGCTTTGTTACAACAACAATAATAATCCCACTCAAACTACTTCCATTATAACTTAGAAACTAGACAACCTAATGGAAACATCCATGGGTCTTCTGGAATTTAGATGGTTGAGACCCTTGGAACATCAACTGGGAAATCATGGATCTTATCCATCCATGGGTTCTTCTCCTTTGCCGGATTTATCGTCCTCAAAGCTTTCCACACTGCACTGTTACAGTTGAATGCTGAGCCAAATGATGTTTGCCATGTCCTGTCACCCCTCCTGATCCTACCCTTAGCTTCAGAATAAGCCAATTCGTACCAAAGAGAACTGCTCGAGGTGTTCCCAAATCGGTATAGAGTCATCCTTGATGGTTCCATGTGTCATTCGGACAGCTGCAAATTCTTCTCCAATTCATTCAAAACAGCTCTTCCTTCAGCATGAATGCAGAAATGCTCAAAAGCTAGCTTGAAATCTGGGATATATGATTTGACCTTCATTTTCAAAAGTTTCTTGCGACCAACGTAGCAAAGAAAAGCAACTGCTCAGACATTGGAATAACCAGAGGCCCCAATGTGGTAATGTTGGTCTTTAAAGCGTCACCAGCAACTGCCATGAGACCCTTCGACAATGTAACACCAATCTTGCCTACAGAATCTTCTTCCTGGGTAACACAGGAAAAGCACTTATCATCTGCACCCCTGTGAGTGCGAACAGTGTGAACCAACTGGTATTTGGATCTTCTTTTATCAGACTATTTGTTAGAGAGCAGCATTGCAGCGCCTCCCATCCTGAATATGCAGTTTGATACAAGTTTCGAACCACGTTTCCAAAGTACCAGTTCAGGGTGATGTTCTCCATGCTGATAATCAGTGCATAGGAGTTGGGGTGGACTTGAAGAAGACTTTCGCAAGATCTATTGAGATCAACCCTGCACTACAGCCCATTCCTCCCAAATTGTAGCTTTGAATATTCCCTCAAGCTTGTAATGGTTGATAACCATGGCAGACAATGATGGTGTTGGATTAAACAAGCTGCAGTTAACAATCAAAATTCCAATGTCTTTAGGTTTTACGGAGGTCTTCGCCAAAAGCTCATCAATGGCACCAAACATGACAGCCTCGACTTCTTTCCTTGCTTCATGCATCGATGGGTTAGGGGGAATGTTGAGGACTGCCTCCGGAAGATATGTTGAAACTGAAGATTATCATCTGTGAATGTACCAGTCATTTGTGATTGATCTACGAACATCCTTTTCGAGCATTTACGAGATTCTTCCGGTTTGTAGCAAGCGAAGTTGACAAGGTAAACAGGGAGAGGGCAGGTCAGAAAGTAGAGGGTCGACAAGAAAACAAGAAGCGTTGAGCAGATGATGACAGAAATGAGGTTGTATTGAAGATGCTCCCAAAGATCATAAAGATCCTGGACAGAAAACGTTGAGAGCTGGGCCGCGATTATAACTAAAATTGGGTAAGGAAGAGGTACATCCCATGGGTGATTAGGTAATGGTATCCAAGCTTCACATACTTTAGCTTAACTGATTTCTTAAAATCAGGAAGGTTCCTTGATGATGGTGGGATCAAAGGTTGGTCTGGTTTCGAGTCAGCCATATTTTCCCTGTCAACATTTCAACTCGATGTATAAAATCAAGTGCAGAAAAGGAGTCAAAAGTAAAAGACAACTTAAAACCAATGAGCAAATCCAGAAAAGAAAAAAAAACAAAGTAGGCTAGTTATTGATTCTGTACCTTTCAAGTGATGAACTTTAAGGCTATCTAGGCCTCAAAAAGCTAAATCCTATATTCAGAATGATAAAGCACACATATTTTTCCTAAAGATGTTTCACATCAAATCTAACTGGGATTTCGCAAACCCAGATCAGCATTTGCATAAAGAAACACTAACTTCTTTCAATAATTCAGATCAATCGGCAAAAGAAAATATCACACAAAGGAAACCCAGATCACAACAATTCATAAGCCACTATTAATGGATTTTAAAAACTCGCCTGGATCTCCAAATTCCACCGAAGCATAGTTGAATCTCTTCTTGAAGAACGGCCACGGATACAGAGAAAGAAGAGACTATAAATACGAGGAGAGCGTGAGTGCGTCAAAGAAGGGAATAAATAACAAGAAGTATAAAAAGAAAAGCAGAAATTGCTGAGATAAAAAAACGAAACGAAAGGAACGTGACAAGAAATGGGAAAATGATGAACAGAGCCAGAGAAACAGAGATTGGCGTATTGGAAACGCGTTTTATGGAAGAGGCAACGCCGTCTGGAATCTCTCTCGGCTCGGGGATCTCGTACCAAACGCAAGTGTCGTTTAAAGCATCAAGGCGGCTGAATGATTCAACCAACTTTTTATTCCCACGTTTATTTTCAAACACATTGGTTTTTTTTCTTTAACTAATAACAATATTTAGTTTTGTTAAAAGAATACGAAATATAACAAAATAAAAAATAATTTTTAAATAATAAAATACGCATAAATAATTATCACCTAGTAAAATATGGATTAGTATAAACCAAGGACAAATCATTGCCTTGGAGCTTAATCCTTTCTGGTCACATGGTTACACATGGATTTGTTCTCTTTCTTGTCTTGTTGAAACATGGCTAGTAAGGGTCCATACCAAGCTGTTGTCGGCATGAAAACATGCCTGCTTCAGGTTTCTCTTTTTATCCATGGAACAATGGCTGGGTGACAGTAGATATATAACTTCAGCTTCTAAGTTTGCATACTGTAAGTAAGGATTACGGTATCTCATGTTCTACAATAAAGCAAAGGCTTTGCTGCCGGAGAATGTAGACAGATGGGCAGATACTTTTAATCAGCTTTTACAAATTTCATTCCTGGATAGTTTAATTAGCTACGTATCTCTGAGCTTTCGCGAGAACAGAATTCTTTACATTGCAAGTTGCTTAGGTAACGGGGTTGTTCTTTCAGAGACAACCGATTCAGCTTCTTCGATTACCGCAGGTCGATTCGAACAACGATCTGCGGCGAGTGTTCTTGCTAATCCAAAGAGAATTCTTCAAGCCAAATTAGAACTTCATTTCTCTTCAATGCAATCAGCCGTGGAACAATGTCGAGATGGAGTCGGTAACTAAGATCAGAATAACGTGTAATACAGTAATAACAACAATGTTACTGGAAAGTGCCTAAAGACATCTTAGGAGTAACATGTAATAGATTAAAACAGTGAAAAGTGAACTGCACAAGTTCCTCAAGTCGAACAAATGGCATAATTGTTGAAGGAAAGTCAAATCATACCATTGTAAAGCTCCATGTTCGTCCCGGATCATTGTAGCGAGCAAGCCAACAGCCTTCCTTTGGTTTAAGACGATCTTCAAGAAGACTGGAGCGCAATGCTTTCTCTTTCTCACGAACAATATCCTCTGTCGGATTTCCGCTGAACTTCAATGTTGCAGCAATCCCTCCTTCCACCTTCCTCAAGTTAACTGTTTCTTGAGTAGGATCTGGCAGACTACACAAGTAAAATCACACCACTGATGTCTTTATCCAATTCGGAAATACAAAACTGTCTCCTGGTGTTTTGGATCCCCGTAAAACCGAGAAGCCTCACCTGCTGATATCTTTATCTTTCTCCAATGGAAGAACAATTTGGATGGATACATCAGACAATTCAGGATCAAGTGCCTGTGTGAACACAGGAGTAGTCATTGGTATCTTCTCTGTTGTAGAATTCTTACCGGAGATGTACCTACGCCAATGGAATCGATCAACCATACAGTCATAAAGGAAAAGGTAAAATTTAGAATTGAAACCAACATTTGTATTGGATTTTCCAGAAAAATACCCAGCAACAGCATTAAACCCAGTTGACCTTGAAAGCTTGCCTCCATTTGTTTCTACGACTATGAATGGTGCATATTTCCTTACCTGCATAACACCAAGTGTTACTCACTATGAATGCTACATCATGGATGCAAAATTTCTGTAAGGATCCTACTCGAATCAAGTTTACTGAATGATTTTAAAAAAGAACACTATAGCACAACCTCATAATTTGCTGTCCTCTTCAATATCTGATATCTAGGTGTCTCCAAGTCAGGAGTCTTGTAAATCCGCAACTGCAAATGAAATAACATTCTACAACATATAAGATAGGGCAAAACCACAAATTTATGACATAAAAAATGCCATTTTGCACAACTAAAGAACCATACCTGCCTAATCACATCCCATAAACCTTCTAGTGAAAAATACTCATTGTTCTCTATAGAATCCCAAAAGTCCTACGGAACATTACATTTAGCAAATCTCACAAAGACTGGACATCAAGGTTACCACATGGCTACAAAACTTTCCGTTGTTTGGGTTAATGCCCATGAAAGAAGTTCCAGTAAAGACCAGCTCAGGCTTCCAAGGCAAAGGCATGAACTTCATCACCATAGTCCACCTCGTTGTTATCTCATAAGGTCCTGTCTATACCAAGTACCAACTCAACCAGTCAAATAAGCAAATA